CTACAATCGGTTCATGATCAATTAACTAAGGATAAAGCGACAGAAATCCCGAAAAAATCAGGCTACGAAGAAAAGATTCGCGAGGTTTATGATCATCGAAAACCGATTGAGGATAATGAACGTGGGCGAAGCCCAATCAAACTAAATGATTTTTCGACTAGTGAAAATGAAAAAGAAATCCAATTAGACCAAGTTACAAGTTCTGAAGATGAAACCCCAATTAGGAGAAAAGGTGATCAGACAGTCAGAACGAAAAGCAAATGTCCATGTCCATATTCCCATGTTAAGAAAATGAAATTTGCAAACATGACACAAATCAGGACAAACAATTTACCCATTGGTGACAAAATTGACAACTCGGTTACTCAATTAGCAGCACAGATTGATAGCACACATGTTTGAAATCACGATATGGACACTAATAACAATGAAATAGTTAGCACGGATACTAATACAAATAATAATTGAGCTGTCATGGCTTGAACAAATCGCAAAAATCTAAAATCCCACCAATCACGCTCAAAGAAAGCACAATGTATTGGGAAGATATCAAAAGGCATTTTCATCAAAATAAACTTAAATTTTATGGACAACGAACTCCTGGTGCCATGAAGGTTTATGCCGAAAATCCGGAAAGTTATAAAGCAATTGTTAGAATACTAAATGACCTTAAAGTAGAGCATCACTCTTACTTTTTGCCTGAGGAAAGACATATTAAAGTAGTGATTAAAGGATTAACATCCCGTACTGTAGTATCGATGATCGATGATAATAATCGATGATATCATCGTTGACTTAGAAAGTCACATTTCAAAATAGAGGACATTAAGCAAATGTCTCGCCGTCGTAATGGAGAGGTTACGAAGCTCCCCCTTTTTATTGTTTCTCTGCCTAGGACGGAAAACTGAAAGGAAATATATAATGTAAGATACTTCTGTGATATGAGAGTCAGGTTCCAGGAATACAAGGGGCATCAAGGCCCACTCCAATTTTTCAGGTGCCAGGGTTTTGGCCACACCCAGACAGGGTGTTCGCTGTGGAAGATGTGTTCGCTGTGGAAAGGATCATGAGTCCAAGGACTGCCCTGATAAAGGCAACCTCGAAGTACCGTTGTGCTGTGCCAACTGTGGACAATCTCGCACTGCCAGTTTTAGGGGGGAGAGAAATTCCCCAAGAAAAAAGAAGAAAAGGAAAACGTTTTCGGTAGCAGAGTTATCGAAAATTAAACATATGCACGGGGGGTGTGGGGCTGTCTGTGGGAGCCGGATTCCGAAATTATAAAAGGCCAAAAGAGTTGGAGGGGGCGGGGGGGGGGGGGGGGGGGGGGGGGGGGTGGGGGGGGGGGGGGGGGGGGGGGGGGGGGGGGGGGGGGGGGGGGGGGGGGGGGGGGGGGGGTGGGGGGGGGGGGGGGGGGGGGGGGGGGGGGGGGGGGGGGGGGGGGGGGGGGGGGGGGGGGAGGGGGGTGGTGGTGGGGGGGGTGGGGGGGGGGGGGGGGGGGGGGGGGGGGGGGGGGGGGGGGGGTGGGGGGTGGGGGGGGGGGGGGGGGGGGGGGGGGGGGGGGGGGGGGGGGGGGGGTGGGGGGGGGGGGGGGGGGGGGGGCACATTAGTGTGTGCCAGAAATTAGTTCCTCTTATTAAAAGTGCCAGCTTTCATATCACACAATAGGTGAGACAGATCACACAACGTAATCAGGAGAACAGTACTTCCAACAATGCTAATAATAGGGAGTAAATCCCCTCTCAGAGCACCCATTAAATTTCTGACGTGGAATGCTAGAAGCATTCAAAGTAAACTTCCAGAGCTAAACGACTTTTTAGTCTCACAACACATCGAAGACGCATGCTACGCCGAACATGAGTTTAAAAATTCCAAATTTCAGGAGTTTTAGATGCGACCGGCTAAGCCATAGGGGTGGCGGGAGTGGCTATCTATGTTAAGAACACCCTCCAATCATGCTTTCATCAGTGATTACCGGAATAACGGGCTAGAGCTCATTACAGTTTCTGTACTGTTACCATATTATGGTATTGTATATTTTAATTCTCTTTTATAATCCTCCTCATCGGCTGTTAGACGTGAACCTACTTGAGGATATTTTGAAACTTGACAGACCTGTGATTCTGGCTGGCGATTTCAATGCCAAAAACGAGGAATGGTTCTGCAGAAAGTCAAACCCTAATGGTGAAAAGTTATTTGACTTTGTCTGCAAAAATCCTATTTTCTTCTATGCACCCAGAGAATACACATATCTGCCTGATCAGCCAGATAAAGGCGATATTCTAGACCTAATTATTACCACTACCTCAATTCCTGTAGACATTGAGGTTTTCCACGAACTAAATTCAGATCATGTACCTGTCGTAGCCACCTTAGGTACCACTAAAGACTTAAACACCGAACAACGTAAGATCACGGACTGGAAAATGTTTAGTAATTACCTTTTCAAGCATCCGCCCGGTGCTTGCAGTCTCAGAACTGCACAAGATATCGATTTTGCTGTGTATCCGCTTACACATACAGTAAATACTGCCTACAATAAGGCCACAAGTCGATCCCGAGACTTCCTTTGCATATCATGGATGAGTGAAAGAAACAGACTGAGGAAAAATTGACACAGATCATGGGACCCATACGCCAAGGCCAAGCTTAATAAGCTTAATAGGACCATTACACAGCAGATTAGAGAGTTCAGAAACGAGACTTGGGGCGAAAAGATTATGAGCTACAATGAACACAATAACAGTGCTATTTGGTCTCTCGTGAAAAAAACTTAAGAAACAACCCTCGATCTCCAAGCGCATTCGGGTCAATAATAAAACTGCCCTGATAAATTAAGAGAAGGCTAACATTTTAGCTGAGCACTTCGTTGACCAGTTCAAGCAAAACGACGATCCATGTGATATGGAATTTACCTACGACGTTAGACACTGTGTTAAAGACTGGTTGCAAGCAAACAGTAATGCAAATGTTTCTAGAACTTGCAAGTCCCCAGAAAATACTGAACATTATTAAACAACTCAAAAATAAGAAAGCACCAAGGTATTACAACATTACGAATGTTGCAATTAAATTCTTACCTCCGGGTATCATTACTAGATATGCAGGTATCTTAATTGCCTGCATCACAATTAACTATTTCCCAAGTTTATGGAAAAGTGCTAAAATGATAGTCCTGCCCAAACCAGGTAAAGACACTACAAAGCCTGACGGTTTAAGACCGATTAGTCTGCTACCGGGACTCGCGAAAATTTTTGAAAAGGTCATTTTTAAACGGAAGGAACCCTACTTAGATAAATTACCAGCAGAGTAGTTTGACTTTCGCAGATCACTGTCCACCACGAAACAACTTGTGAGACTCACTGAGTATATTGGAAGCTCTCTGCACAATCATCAAAGCGTCGCCTTACTCATGCTGGACATGGCGAAAGCTTTCGACCGCGTCTGGCATAAGGGGTTCATCTTTAAATGAAGCAAGGGCTTTAGCAAAGAAAAGAACTATCGAATACCACCGAAAGAATAAAACTAGATATGACATCAGATTTGTAGAATCTAAATTTCAACCTGGAGATTTTGTCCTTTACGAGGAATTTGAATACCCAAATACTAGAAAATTGACTTCACCCTATTCAGGCCCTTATCGGATTATGAATAAATTATCTGAAGTTAATTATGAAATCGACAGGGAAAATTTTCACACGAAGAAACCAACTGAGATTGTACATGCGTCAAAATTAAGGTTCTATTATCCACCCGAGAACTTTAAATTACATCATGAATAAATCAAAATTTATAAATCAATAAACTATCCATAACCCTTCTTTTAGTTTTCATCCTGTTGTCCCCCTTAATAGTTGATTTATCTCTCAGTGTCTGAAAAGTTTGTCTGCCCTTTTCTTTTACTGGGCTCCTTCAAACTTGAGTTTCAGGTTCAATGCACTTTCCGTGTGGGAAACACTCAATTGAGGCTATACTACAAGTAGAGTACTATACCCTCACATTTCCTTGAGCTCATGTTTTCCTATGTTTGTGTTATAAATTGTAGCAACAGTTGAAAAAGTTAAATTTCAGTTGTTGAAATTTCTGAATTTCATTTTATGTTTCTGCAGCATCGTGTACAAAAAACTGGTATGGATGTTGGAAGTTAAATTTTGTTTTGTTATCATTAATAAGAGAAAAATAGAGTGACAAAATATGTTAAAAACCTAGCAAAATGTGTATTTTCAACAAGAGTATAAGAGCTCTAGTATCGTGACATAAAAACTCAAATGTTTTCAGTGCCAATGCTAATCCATAATTCTAGCGCTAATTAAATGATCCGGAGATCTCCAAAGACCAGTAAAAGACTGAAGATGAGCCTGAATGACAACTCTAATGATTGTACGGACTCATACACAAACTGTGAATGGCATGCCCTAAGATATAAACTTACAAATTCAGTTATATTACTATTTCCTATTGCCGCGTAGCTAACCAGCAATATGTTATTAGTGCTTTATTTGTTCTGCACTTAGTTACTATATTATAATTTCATTAATCATTTATTATATTTTATATACTGTATTAATTATATTCAAATATTTTATGTCATATTTTATGTAAACATTTTGTGTGCCTTGAGGTAAATCCAATCAGTTTTCCTACTCACTTAATTTCCTAATAACTAAATTTTCTGCTCTCACTATCTGGACTGTCTTGGGTCGACGGCCGCGACTGCAAGCCTTTTCAGATGGGGGGGGGGATAATCTGTAATGATATTTTTAAATCAATTGATTAAATTAAATTCTATTAATATTGCTTAATAATGTGTTGGCGATTCTCTACCTAAATTGCATCCCTGTTCCTAAATTTTGGCGAAATCCTTTTTTTCATTCGATAGGATTGTTCTCTTTCCAGTATCTTATCACAGCAACACATTCAATATGCCATTGGCACAATATCGAGGAACTCAATCTGTGGGACACCTAGTGAAGGAGGAATGCCAGTTATTCAAACTCCAAGAATTATTCCTTGGTCATTGCACGTTCACCCTCGTAAACTTGGATCAAGACACCTGGTTGATTATCAGAGTAAGTTGTAAATGTTTGTGTCTGACGAGTTGGAATGGTTGTATTACGTTTCATGAGCACAGTCATTACACCACCAGCAGTTTCAATTCCTAGAGACAGTGGGGTTACATCCAACAGCAACAGATCTTGCACTTGTTCAGATTTATCACCATTCAAAATTGCAGCTTGGACTGCAGCACCATATGCGACAGCTTCATCTGGATTAATACTTTTGTTAAGTTCTTTACCATTAAAGAAATCTTGCAGTAGCTTCTGAATTTTAGGAATACGAGTAGATCCACCTACCAGGACAATATCGTGGACTTGAGCTTTATCTAATTTTGCATCTCGCAAAGCCTTTTCAACAGGTTCCAATGTGCTTCTAAACAAATCAGCATTCAGTTCTTCAAAACGGGCTCTTGTTATGGTTGAATAGAAATCTACACATTCAAAGAGAGAATCAATTTCGATGCTGGCTTGAGTACTTGAGGACAGGGTTCTCTTAGCCCTTTCACAGGCAGTATGTATGAGAAATTACATTTCATATATATACAGAGAGAGAGATGGAAGACAGATAAATTTAAACACCTAAAACCAATATTAATTTGGAATCAAAGCAAGGCAATTCCTCAACAATATTAATAATCGCAACCTCGTATAAGAGTTTTAACACAATTATAAAAAATAATCGAAATTAAAATAAGAATTAATAATTGAACAAACTCGAAAAATAAAAATGCGAAAGGGAAAATATACAAATTGTTAACATATAAGAATTAATCTCCTTTTAAAGAGGTCGGTTACCCAAAGAAAGTTTTCTGAGTTACATGAAATTCGAATTCAAATTACAAGAATTTATTAAGTAAATTGTTCTTTATTTAAAATCATTCTCTGGGATTTGGATATACTTATGGATTACGAGGAAATGACGACGCCCTTAACTTATACTTATAGACTCCGCCCTAAGGGGAAGTCTCGTAATTTTGCCTGAAAGGCCAAAATTTTATGATTCATGCAGTGTTTCAAGAATAAAACTTTGAATATTATAATAAATCATAAATGAATAATAATAAACGAAAGTCCTTTAATACAAATGAGATGAAAAGACGAATGATTCAAAATTTTATTGGAGAGCCAAAAGTGTTAATTTTACATTTAATTTTGAATAATAAAAGTCTAAACTTTATAACGCGTTCGAAATTTTTTTTGAAATGGTAATAATAAATGAAATTGTAATGAAAAATATAATCAAAAATTTAAAAATAAGTAAATCAAGTTCAAAAATATAATAATAATAGTAATAAATAAATAATAAAAATTAATGCTAAGGAAAGTAAAATATTAAGAAGAAATAAATATAAAATGTTAAAAAGTAACAATAAGAAATACAAAAAACACAAAAGTAAATATTAATAAACAAAAATAAGTAAAAATAAATAGCATTTAAAAAGAATATGATATAAACATAGTAAAAAAATGCATTAATTGCAAAAATATAATAAAAAAATTCTTAATCTTTAATTAAAAGCCTTTAATTTGGCTAAAATGCACAGTTTAGTCGCAATTCAAGCCACATTCCTTGGCTCCCCAATTAGTATCTTTTTATTAAATAAATATAATTCTGCTTATGAGCTCAATTTTTCAGTCAGTCACAGGTCCGTCAAGGAGGTTCCCCACTTAGTCACTCACTGGTCAATCAGCGTGCAATTTTTTAGTCCAGTCACTGGTCAATCATCGTGATCGTCATTTAGTCAGTCTCTGGTGTGTCAATGTACAATTTTGGTCAGATTGATGTCATTTCGAACAAATTTATCACGAACATAAATGAAATTATGTAAACTTAGCTCAGATTTGATATGATGCTTTAAACTGTTATGTTTATTTTTAATTTTTTAAAGCGAAAATATTTCAGTAAAGCTTTTCTTAATTTTGAAATTGTGAAACGCTTGCTAGGCTGTGATGAAGGATGTTGAGTATTCTCGTCATCAACGTAGATAACAGCGACGGTATCAACGACGATATCAATAAGGCGTTCTTGAAATTCTTGAATTGGTTTCACTTCTATTCTGTCTACTTGATCCATTTTGCTATTTATTTCTGGTTCATTATTTGTGTTGATGAGATTGCCGAAATTGATGTCCCCTTGTGCTCCAAGATCGGTATGCGATACAATGCATTCAGCATCCAATGATTTAATAGAGGCATTCAAACTGGGTTTTCCTGGTTGAAGATGGTTATACTGCTATTCATGCCTGTTTGATTACCTGAGTTATCAGGTTTTGGGTAATCAAAATTCCTTTCTGCTTCTTCATGGAAGGTAATTCAATTGATTTTCCATCACTTATATGGTAAACTTCAGTGGGATTATTATTGAAATCTTTGGCAAAAAGGTTCGATGTGGTCAGTGTCACTATCGATATGCAAATTTAGAGATTATTATCAAAAGCTTCGTTAGGAAATTGGAGAAGATGGGTGTCATTGTCTATATCCACATCAAAGGAATCGTCATTATGTTCATGAATATCAGCACATGAATCAAAGAAATCTAAATTATGTACCTTCGTTCCGGCACTATAGTTGTGTTCATTAAGGTTAATGGTATTTTCATCGTTACTTTTTCGAGTTTCTCTTCTCTTCGAGGAAACAAAAATGAAGGCAATCGCAAAACAAATAAGTATGCCCAATAGGCTGTCGATAAACGGTGTTGGTATAAAAACGTAACATAATACTGTCAACAAAAAGAAGCCCATTTCTAAAAATGGCCCGAATTCGTTTTCAGCAGTAAAAATAACAAAAAATTTAAGCAAATGTGATCCACACGTAAAATTTTAGCACCACTAGATTTGATATCTCTAATGATTATGGTTTATTAGCATTGTTAAAAAAGTATTCATTAACTTTGTTGTAATTCAACAAAAGCCTAAAAACAATTATTAGTAACTTGATTGTTACAAATGTTATTAAAAGGATTCTTTGAATATGTAGCAATGAAAGATGTTCTGATATATAACTCTATAATATAAAGGAAGTTTCTGTGTGTGTTCTTTCGTTCATGCTGCGTGTTAGCTAATAGACTCAGGGCTACGAATTTGGTACATAGGTGCATCTAGACAAGAGCCAGTACCTCGAAGCGAGTTTTCAAATTGGAATTTTTTTATTATGTTTTTATGAACGCATCAAATCGATAATTCTCTCTATATCAGCAATAATGGTATCACTGCCATTGTATTGTATCAACTGTGCCATTCGGAAAGATTAAGGCGAAAATTAGCGTTTTAAGAGATTTTAATTAATATCTCTGATCTTTTGCTATTTTTTGGATAAAAGAGGAAGCGGAAAAGCGGACAAAAGAACGAACGCTAAACTACCGCTCCCATAAATATTCAAATAAATATTTTTTGGGGGTTTCTTGTGATACAAAACATAAACGTAATCCTCATATATATATATAACCAAAGATTATTATTATTAAAACGAAAATTATGGGAAACATATATTTCAATTGAAAAAATACTTTCAAAACTTGATGTTTTCCTGGTTTTATGAGTGCAAAGCGCAGAATATCATGTTTACCGTAGACTCTCATGCAAAGCGTTTCTTCTACCTTTGGTTAGGTGAAAATGAAGTTAAATATAAACACAATACAAAATATATAAAAATGTTTTTAATTCTTTAATAGGCACCTCTTTAAGATAAAATCAAACTGGTTAGCATAAAATTAACTTATATTCGCGTTATATTATTAGTGGGAAATGTATTTATGCCTAGGAAGGCCTTTAAATGATAAGCTCAACAATATGCTTGCATACAAAACCATCACAAGACGACATTTCTGACATCATACCAGGCTAACGACATTTCATACGTCCATCATACAAACATTCTGAACGTGGAAAACCGAGTGAATAGAACATAACGTTTCAATTCTCTACATTCCTCAATAATAAGATATAATAATTTGAGTCAACATGGAGTGTTCAGAACGCCTACCTTACTAAGGGATTCAGCGAATGGATTTAAGTTAGCTCGTGCGATGGTCACTTTCTCGTCCAACAGATTGTGACTAGACAGTGGAAGGGAGAAAGTGACGGTGCACGAACAGAGCTAAATTATGCGCCTGCTATTGCTGTTGGCTGAATATAATTCTAACACTTACACACATAGCCTGAAAAAATTCATGAGACTTAAAATGGAAATCTTTATTATCTTCTTTACTACTTAGTGGGTCACAATCACAGAGTTAAGGGAAGTGGGAGTTTAATTAAACTTTTCTTTGTGTCTCCTCTAAAATCTCAGAATATTATATTGGATATAAAAAGTCTCACATCGCTTTTCCTCCTACTGAAACCCTTTGATTCTTATTAATATAAAATAATAATTGTTTTCCGTCACTACTTACCTGACATGAACGTATATGTAATTTAGGCACACGCACCCAACAAAATATCTGATTCGATACCACACACGACTTCCCTGTAAGGACTATTAATTTATAGACATTTCTGCTTCAATTGATTTGCCCCTGTGTCCTCGAATTTTAATTAGATATATATTTATATTTCAATTTATTCAGTTCTCACTTCGCGGCGTCGCGCGTAGCAAAAATCAATGGAGATTCAAAAACACCTTCATTGAAAACTGTAAAATATATAAAAATCTAAAACATTAAATGCAGTTAAAAACAATTTTTTACAATTAAAAATTAGAGTTTCTGCGTCCAAACAAGCAACTCAACCAACAGGTAGACAGACCAAAATTTTTGGTGTACAGTTTTTTTTTGAAAGTTAATGTTTAGTCTACCTTTGCAAAAAGACATGGAAGTTGGCGCACCAAATGATTTAATCAACAGTTCTAATAACAGTGTCTGGCCTCGTTACGCCTACTATCACTTTTACATTGCTCATAATTCGACAGCTATCGCATACACGAAAGGTGTAAAAAATCCATAACCGAAATATAAGAAACAACATAAATCGACCTTTTAAAGGGTTAAAAAGGCAAAAATGCAAAATTTATTAATATATATAAGAACAAAAATACAGAGCTAAACGAGCCGGTGTAAAGAAGACAGGAATATATATATATATATTTATACATGTTAAAAAGTGACCGATTGCAAGGAAAAAGCGAGGAGTACAACTAGATGTTATAGCACTCCCGTATACTAAAACATTCTACGGCTACTCATTCTCGAGTTATTCGAGATACGTATCTCACGAAACGAAAATACTTGAAAATACCGCTAATCTCTGTTGCTGAATCTATTTTACAATCCGTTTTTATAAAAACGTGCGCCATATATTTTATGTCCAGATACTATGCCAAAACAAGTCATTCCAATTGATTTAAAGCGGTAGAAATGAATACTTGTCTTAAAATCTGCTACCCTAAATTTTTCGCAACTATAGTTCTTCATTTAACTCGTACAGTGAACTAGAAGGAGACAGTTTTGTAATTTCAATTCTGCAGAGCCGATTAAACGGAATTTAGCTTGCATTTTTCATACCGAAAAAGCGCGTCTTATGATGCATCTTATTAATCTGTAATGATATTTTTAAATCAATTGATTAAATTAAATTCTATTAATATTGCTTAATAACGTGTTGGCGATTCTCTACCTAAATTGCATCCCTGTTCCTAAATTTTGGCGAAATC